GGCACCCGCTCGGTTCCACCGTGCCGGGAGTGGGTTTGTACCGAGTCACATCCTCGGGGTGTGAGGATCACTGCTGGGATCGGACCAGAATGGTGCCAGTGGGAAACTCCTGGAGGGATTCCACTGCCACCGCAGCGACGCGGCGCTTCCCCCCAGTTGTTATCCTTATTTATTCGCTCGGGCTAATGGGATCTCTCCCGCTCTGTGTCTCTGGCCAGCTCAGCGTTGCTCTGATTTGCAGGCAGGGCTGTTCATCCCCACCAGTGCCCTAATTCTGCCCGCCGGAGCCGGGCAGCTTTCTGGGAAGAAAGTGTCCTTTCATGGCAGGCCAGCTCGCGGGGAGCCAGCGCCTGACACTTTCATCCCCAGGAGGTCACCACAGCAAGCGGCTACGGAACGGGGCAAGTCATTCCCATGCCATGCCATGCCTGGGACTCTGGCCTGGCTCTTCACGGAGATTTCCATGCTCGGCCACAGCAGGAGCCTCGGCAGTGCCACAAGAGGAGCCGGCAGAGCCCGTGCTGGCGAGGGGCGAGCTGCCCGCCTTTGGGCAGCGGGCTCCTTGGCCACCTGGCCTGGCCACTCCATCTCAAAGCGGCTTTCTCAAACAGAAAGGAGACGTCTGGCTCGGTCCGTGCCGCGCGGGGCGGCCGGGGGGCACAGGGGGAGCCAAGGGCACTCGCCTCCGGTTCTGTGCGAGCGTTGGCAGCATCTCAGTTCCTTGGAGGACGTTTTCTCCCAGCCTCGAGCTGTGTTACGGTGTGCCACCCGGCCCGTGCGCTGGGCAGCAATGCGTGCGCCTCCCGCGCCGCCCCTGCTCGCCGACAGCGTCACGGCAAAAGAACCCCTTTATGTGCCCAGGGCAGATGTGCCTTTTGCCACGTGCTGGCAGCGGGTGATGCTCCAAGCAAGGCTGGAGAGTTGGGGCTGTTCAGCCTGGAGAAGAGAAGGCTCCGGGGTGATCTTATTGCAGCCTTCCAGTACTGAAAGGGGCTACAGGAAAGCTGGAGAGGGGCTTTGGACAAGGGCATGCAGTGACAGGACATAGGGCAATGGCTTTAAACTGAAAGAGGGGAGATTTTGATGGGATCTAAGGAAGAAATTCTTCCCTCTGAGGGTGATGAGGCACTGGCACAGGTTGCCCAGAGAAGCTGTGGCTGCCCCATCCCTGGAAGTGTTCAAGGCCAGGTTGGATGGGACTTTGAGCAACCTGGTGTAGTGGAGGGTGACCCTGCCCATGGCAGGGGGGTTGGAACTGGATGATTTCTGAGGTCCCTCCCTACCCAAACTATTCCATGATTCTATGACCATGGAGCTAAGCACAGTCATAATGAAAAAAACACGTTGTTGGTAGCAGCCCCATTTGTTTGTCAGGGTACTGGAAGCCGACGGAGCTCCAACAGCTGCACATTTACACCGTAACAGCAGGAAATCAAGGAATGTCTCGAGGGAACCGGCCAGGATTTCTGCTGTGGCTGTTCTAACCCCTGCTCTGGCTCCCACACACCTGGGACAGCGCCGGCCTCGCAGCCACCTGCCAACTCGAGAGTTTGTTTCCTCCTTCCCTGATGCTGGAAGGGAATTCCCTGGTGCTTGGGCTGCGTTAAAGGAGGAGGAAGAGGAGAAGCAGCAAAACCAAAGCGAGCCAGGACGGCCGCGCTGCCAAGGACGCACAGGGATTCT